CCCCTTTCCCATTTTATCTGTCCCCCGTTTTTTAAAACAACCGTTAAACCCTAAACCCTAAACCCTCACCCTGTGGACCCGTACTCCAGCAACCCTTTGAGTCCATCCTTTCACCTTGTTCTATCCTTTTGGTGCCGCCCATCCAACTCTGTGCTATCAATCCATGGCTGTAGCAGATTAGGCTTGTCTAACTCCCGTGGAAGTCTGACCTAGCTGTGTTTTGCCCGACCGCAGTTATCTGTTATCGAAAGCCTCTTCTTGAGTTTGAGGTGTGCCAGTCTTTCCAGCAAATGCTGACCTCTCGTGTTCAAGAAGCGATTAAAGCGACCGCCTTTTTTTTTTTTTTTTTTTTTTTTTTTTTTTTCCGCCGTCTGCACCAGAGCTTTGGCTGTAGCGCTACCTTCGTCTCCATGATGGACGTCTGTCGTCTGTTAGAGACCACTTCAACGCATTCTGCTTCCCCTTTCCTTCTGCTTGACACAAAGGGGCACTTTTCCTGATGAATCTGCACCACAACTTTTAGCTCTCCGTGTCAGTTCGGGGATATTAGTCAGACGGAGATGAAGGATGCAGTGTTTAGGGAAAGAAAAAAGGGGGGGGGGGGGGGGGTAGTGCAGACTCCATGCTTTGAGTCGGGCCACCGCTGCAGTGGCTCAGACCGCCATCTGTTCGACTCCGCTATAGCTCGGTGTCAGGTTCGCCCCCAAGAAGATCATTCATTCCCCTTCAGTTACCGTGGGAATATCCCATCCCTCATGCGGATCAACCTCTGGTAGTAAGATGACTTTTGATTTCTGCCAGTTGACTCGTGCTCCAGAGTACTTACAAAATATTTGTAGATCGTCCTTAAGAGCGGCCAGCTGCTACGTGGTCCGGGGGATCACTGCTCGTGAATCCCCCGCAAACGCTGTGGATCGCAGCTCCATTGCCGGTCCCGCCTTCAAGGCTGTCAGCCTATCATCTGGCCTCAGAATATCATGCATGGGATTGAGGTAGATTACGTAGAGGGCCGGGATAGCAGGCAACCTTGCCTGACTGATCAATTGACTTTACGCTTGTCCGATCAGACACCATTGACTTGCATCACCGTTGTTCCTCCTGTCAACAGGCTTCTGACCCAGCTGCAGAATATCCCCCCTACCCCCTTCCGTGCCATTCCCTGCAGCAGGAAGTCCCATTGGACTCGGTCGTCCGTTTTTTCATGATCTACGGAGACAAAGGCCATGGCAGTGACTTTAAGCTTGTCCGATTAGACACCATTGACTTGCATCACTGTTGTTCCTCCTGTTAACAGGCTTCTGACCCAGCTGCAGAATATCCCCCGTACCCCCTTCCGTGCCATTCCCTGCAGCAGGAACTCCCATTGGACTCGGTCGTACGTTTTTTCAAGATCTATGGAGACAAAGGTAAGTAAAGCCAATCAAATCAATGAAGCATACGATGTACGACAGAACAGCATAGCATATCATGAACCATCAAGGTATAAACACAGAAAGAAGAAAGGGAAGCGAGAAAGAAGACACGGCACACGAATTCTCCCGAACGCGAGGGCGTCAAAATGTATTCAACGAAAAAACAGCCCAAATACTCGAACCGAAAATGAGCGTCGTGCTCGTGGTCGTCAATATCCTGTCCGAGCTTCTGGCGGTTGACCCTACATGTTTCATCCGGCCGCCAGAGCCGG